TTAAACTGGAGATGCATTCCTAAGGAATTTTTTTGGCCCAAAAAAGTAATTCAAGCACTTTTACTAATGAAAATAAACATTTATAAACACATACAATACAGTACATTAAATAATTTATGATATACAGTCGACCCTCGTTAAAACGGACTAATAGGGGGGGGGAAGGGTGTCCGTTTTAGCCGATTGTCCGAATTAACCGATTTAAGGGTTAATATTACATTATACAGCTATGTGTATGTTTATTTGAGTGCCCCGTCATAGGAGTCCGTTTTCTCTCACTTCAGCACTCCCGAGTCGTCCGTTTTCTCTTAATCTTAGAGTGCACCAGAGACTGTTATATCTCAGTAGTGACACAGAATTTGATATTGCAACTGGGGTTGCAATTGTTGAGGCAACTTAGGTATGTCTGATTACAGTTGGAATATTCAAGATCCATTGTGAGTGATGTTTAAAGCTTCAACTGTCTTTATGGTTGGTAAAACTTGTCAAGTCTGTCAGTCTGAATGGCATGTGTGAGGCCTTGTGTTTGTACAACAGCTAAATATATAATGTTATGATAATTATCAGAAACACATAGGCATAACGAGGTTTATTACAAAGTGATGAAAAGGATACTGTACAGTGGCTAGTCCACAAAACATGTAGCCATGTCTCTTTATTTGAGTGCCCCGTCATAGGAGTCCGTTTTCTCTCACTTCAGGATGCCTGAGTCGTCCGTTTTCTCTTAATCTTAGAGTGCACCAGAGACTTTATTATTTCTTAGTAGTGACACAGAATTTGAAATTGCAACCCCAATTGTAACTGGGACAATCACAGAACCAGAAATTTGATATGGACATTTCAGATTTCGTCCGATTTATCTGAAATCCGGATTAAAGGGGTCCGAATTAACGAGGGTCGACTGTACCTTCTTAAAACACCAATTTAGGGGTTAACATTGCATAATAATGCATTATACAGCTATGTGTATGTCTCTTTGAGTGCCCCGTCATAGGAGTCCGTTTTCTCTCACTTCAAGGCCGCCTGAGTCGTCCGTTTTCTTTTAATCTTAAGAGTGCACCAGGGACTACTGTATTATTTTTTAGTGGTGACACAGAATTTGATATTGTAACTGGGGTTGCAATTGTTGAGGCAACTTAGGTATGTCTGATTACAGTTGGAATATTTAAGATCCATTGTGAGTGATGTTTAAAGCTTCAACTGTCTTTATGGTTGGTAAAACTTGTCAAGTCTGTCAGTCTGAATGGCATGTGTGAGGCCTTGTGTTTGTTAAAATTTACCCCAATTTCCGTAAGGGCGGATTTACGGGCCGTAACGCGAAATAATTGGTCATAATTTACAAATTCCGTAAGAGCGAAATTCCATAACCCGGGCTTCCGTAACGCGGGGGATGCCTGTATTCATAGTAAATAAAATTCTTAATTAAAAAATACACCAAAATAAAATAATAATAACAATAATAATAATAATAAAATTTATAATAATAATAATAACAATAATACTGTATTAATAAAATAATAATAATAATAATAATAATAATAATAATAATAATAATAAAGAAATATATAAGAGTGAAAAAAGATAAAAAGTGAGAAACACGACCTAGACCTATGAATTATTATTATTATTATTACTGTGCAGGTATTATTATTATTATTATTATAATTTTTATTATATTTTCGCCCCCCCAGGCCCCAATGTGGGTCAGTGACTTGTGCCCGGGTGGGCTTAAAAAAAAAAAAAAAAAATCTGAAAACCGAAAAATTCCAAAATCCGAAATGCCTCTGGCCCCAAGGATTTCGGATAAGGGATTGTCAACCTGTACAATTATTGGTCATTCTGAAATTTATTTTACATATTGACAATACAGTAGGCTCTCACTAATAACGACTTCCACAATAACGTTTTCGACAATAACGGTAAGTTACAATAGATACCCATTTTCGATAATAACGTTTGGATTCTCTTGAATAACGGAAATTTCGCGGGAAGCGTCCGAGCGCATCAATGATAGTGCTTGTTTGCCGCCATGTTGATGACGTAGTTGTCCGCTCCGCCTCACTCTCACACACGCTCAGTGGAATACAGCGCTGCGCCCACGTGTGAGATTTTCGCCTCTATAACCAGTGGTTGTTAGGGTCGGTGATCAATAATGGCTTCCGCATTTTTGCCTGTGGGGGCTAGGGGAGGTGGTGGAGGGAGTGATTTGCCACCTGAATGACTGGGAATTTTTAAAGTGAGGAAATTGAAGTGTCCTTAGTCTACAGTGCGAAATATTAAGAGGAACTTAGCGGAGACCAAGAAGAGTATTGCGCTGGCTAAAAATATTTCGGTAGTGATGGAAATGAGAGGCGAGCTATGAATGATAAAGGCAATAGAAACAGGTTGTTAGTGATAACAGAGCAAATTCTTGTGAAATGGTTAGCTTGTACAATGAAAGACAGTGCAAGTGTTAGTGGCCCTCAGATACGGAACAATCATTACACCAAGCACCTCAAAAACTCCCCAAGCTAAGTGTTATATTACTCAAGCTCTTTATTTTGATGATTGAATAGCAATTCTTTTTATTTCAGCTAACAAAAAGTGTTAGGAGGGCTTCAAGGGGAGAAAATGGGTGAAATTCTTGTGGGGGCGGCACCAATAAACCCGTTTTACATGTATTTTAATGTCACACAAATAACGTTTTCGCTAATAACGGTGTTTTTCAGGCACCTATTAAACGTTATTGGTGAGAAGTGCAGTGCAGTGTTGATTTAAAGAAAATAATCTTGAATTACACCTAGTGAACTTCAAAATTTATGGGTGAAATGACGGCATGAAGCATGGGGTGATTTCTCTTCCACCCCTCTTCTCCCTTCTCCTCCACCCCCACTTCCTTCTCTTCTCCCTTCTTCTCCACCCCTACTTCTAATTCCCATCATCGTCATCATCAACCAGGAGCCTTCTACATACACACCTCAAAGTAAGCGTACTTTACTGCATTCATTTTTACTTTGCATGTAATTTTCGGTGAGCTGGAACCAATTACCCAAAATCCCATTGAAACAATGGTTTCGGTTAACGAAATTTTCGGTTAACGAACGACCTTCTGGAATGAATTGTGTTCGTTAACCGAGGGACCACTGTATATATACAGTACTGTACAATATTGCTTGTTGTGAGGGATGAAGAAAGTCAATATTCTGTCGCTGTGGGTGGGTAGCGGGGCGATGGTACTGACGTACTTTTCAATACAGCTGGACAAGTCCACAGACATAGGGAACGAGGCAAACCTCCTGTGTTTTATCAGGTTAATTTGCTCTAGGGAAGTACAATACGTATATGAAAAATTTCTTCTCTGTCACTATCTGCCTACAATTACACCAGGAGAAGCTATATTTAATGTATAGGTATCCCCTGATATACAAACGTTCAAGATATGAACATTCACTTATACGAATTGCCTAAATTGAGACCACTATTTCAAGATACGAAAACTTCCCCCACTTATACGAATTTGGATTTGGACAAAAATTCAAATTTTGCTTGCCATGAGTCAGGTGGCACAGCTATTTTGGGGTGAGATGTGCAAAGATGTATTCTAACTCACAGATCATAATAAACAAACCCACCTCCCTTCAGCATCTCCCACAAGCCTGTGTCTTTCCTTCTGCCACTTGTGTGTGTGTGAAATGATCTCTCTTTATCCGTGTGTATTCGTACCATCCTTTTGTTATATCTTTCACTGTGGCATCCAAGCGTTCTACAGAATAGTGTGAATAGTATTTTTTGTGGGAGGTGAACATATGTATGGATGCGTCATGCTATTCCCAATGTGATACAACGGCATACAGCATAGCAGTCGCGCATCCCTTAAGCCAGCTGGCTGAACTCATCTATTCTTGGCATCACCCATAGGATGGCTCACGGGCGAAAGGTGCTATTTTTGGGAGGTACATAAAATATGCACGATTGTATTGCATGTGCTCTGTATTATTTTTTTTTGTTTATTATTGCAATTTTTGCTCATATTTGGCATATGTGAAATACAGAATAATGAAGGAATGGAAATGATTCCCTTTTAATCATTATTAAATCTTCCTATAACAAAGTTCTGAGAATGAAGTGGATTTCGTGAACAAATCCACTTCAATGCCAGAGGTATACTTTACACAATCACATCATCCACTTCAACTCACACAGCACAAGGCCAGCCATACAATGCTTGAATTAATTTATTATGAGCTTAAATAAGCCAATCTGTGTAAGCATAATATGCTGGTTGTTGTTTTGAACAGTTGTGCCTCCCGCTGATTTGGATGTCCGTATAACGGATTCCCTCTGAGAAACAATATCTCTGTGGTTTAATTAGACCAGTACAGGTGTACTCAGATATTTTTTTTTTTTACTGTTCTATTAAGGATGAAACCTCTACACTTACATACTGAAAGTACCACCTTTACAAGAATTTAAAATGGCCACCAAAAATTTCATATGAAATTATACTAGAAGTCTAGACTACTTGTATGATTTTACACAGAGGTTGTGTGGGAGTCAGAGTGACATCTCCACTCTACCTATAGGAGTCCCCTTAGCCTCGAAGAGGACATGTGATGATGCCCTGACTTGTCCATTATGATGTGGCGAGTGTTGTTTACCGGTACTTGTTTTGTACATGTACTGATAATAGTATTGCAGGAATTGTTTTGTCAGTGATACATCTACAATAATTCACCTAGCGATAGGGTTTTCAGGAACCTCGTCCCATTGTATCACAAGGTTTACCTGTACTGTAATTCAAATGCCAAATATGAAAAAAACTGCTATCATAAACAATAAAAATGATTCACAGCTTCATCATAAAATACAACAGCACATATATTTTGTATAAAAATAACTCCTTCAACCAGCCACCCAGCAGACTCTGAGACATGTGCATGACATTACATTGGGAGGAAATGAGAGACGGGAGGAAAATTAAGTAAAAAAAAAAAAAAAAAAAAAATTCACAACATTCTTACCAGGGCAGCCATGTCATATAAGGTCTCCAGTTTGTTCCATATGGTGCGAGTTGACAGCTCACAGTTGAGGGAGGAGCTGAGTTTATCATGGATGAACATCATTTGGAAATGTTTATTCACACCTGTTGAATAAAATTAATTGTTGTATTGTAATGTTTTTGTTTTTTTGGCACAATTTCATTTTGATTACTTCTGAATATATGTTAAGAGTCGGAAGAAGGGGAAGGTTGGTGAGTGAAATAAAAAAGATATCTATAGCTGATGAATTATTTATTACATGAAAGGATAACTTTGGTAAATGCTAAGTTTTGTTCTACCATTTAATTTTTCTTATTTTTTGAAGAAATTTTGCATGCATTTTCTTGTTCTTATGAGAAAAAAATCAGGCTTGCATGCAGCTTCTGAGGTCCGGGAGTTTCTTTTTTTACAATTCACGAGTCTCTTGTGGGAGGGGTGCTGGGGTAGTGGCTCATTGGGAGCTACAGAGTGAAGCCTCCAAGCCTTCTAGTACTGTACAGTAAGGGTCACAATAATTTTCTATTTTTCTGACACTAAAAAATGGTCCAAACAATGCTTCAAAATGACTTTCTAGGTAACATTATATACAGTACCTTACATATGATTAAAATGTATACTGTAGTAACAAATTATTTCACCCACTGCCTGTCCCTCCTTTAGCTTGGTGCAAGAAGCAAAACAATTGTAAATACCGGTATAAGTTGAACGTATCAACATTATAATTACTGCAAATACATACATACCTGGAGAAGAAATTTGTTTGCTTTTAACCATAAACAGTTGTTACGCCCATGTTACACCAATCTGACCACGTGAGCCAACAGGGAACAAACACTCTTATATAAACTTACTAAAATGAAACACAATTACATGAAACAAAATCACATCCAGATCAGTATCTCTACCCATCAATTACATAACACAAAACATGCTGAGGTAAATAGTGAACATAAAATCCATTATCCATTATGGGAATTAATTCCCCTTTATAAGTGGTTTCATTATCAGTGGCTTTTTACAGGTCCCTATTAACCACTTATAATGAGGACCCCGTCAGAGCTAAACTCTCACTTCACGTCGTCTAAAATCGGCAAAGGCAACAAGCCTCCAGAAGAGGTTTTAACATTAAGCATCTGGAGGATGCAGACGTAGCAAATGCTTTCAGAGAGTAGCTCGAACATCAGCTGATAAACAACCCGACAACAAACAACCCAAATCTCAGTGCCGAATAGGGTATTCTCGACACTGTCACGACAAAAACCTGCAGACAGACCCCCGCCAGGTCGAAAAAATACACCAGGACTGGTTTGATAAAAATGACCCGGCAATCAATGTACAGTACTTGTTGATGATAAACGTGTTGCTTTAACTGACTGGCAGAACAACCCTCAGTCTCTGATCAAAACTGATACCTTCTGGAAGAAGAAAGCAGTGGCCCAGCACAAACTTTGCTATCAAAAGAACAACTGGTTTAAAAATAAAGCTCGTAAAATGCAAAAATTTACATATCAACACAGGATACGTGAATTTTTCAATTCCACTAAAACATTTTATGGGCCAATCCCTTATGGCGCAGCCCCCCTGCGCTCATCTGACGGTAACTCCCTAATAAAAGATGAAGAAGGCATCCATCAGGGTTGGAAAGAGCACTACCATTTGCTGCTCAACCGAAACACTGATGTGAAAGTACGGACTACCCAGCAGGCCCCTCAGCATCCAGAGTTGACCCACCTCAACTATCCTCCATCCCTGGATGAGGGAGCTACTGCCATCGAACAGATGAGAAATAACAAAGCCTAAGGGCCTGAAGGAATCCCAGCCGAGGTGTATAAAGCAGGAGGACCTCTGCTTACCAGCCGTCTCCACTCTCTCCTGGAGAATATATTGGAAAAGGAGGAAATCCCCAAGCTCTTAAAGATGCCTCCATTGTCAATACAGTGAGTTCTGCTATAACGCGTGTTTTGACAACGCGAATTGGCTATAACGCGATTTATGAATAGAGGAACGATATTTGTAAAACGCGAACGCTTGTTTGCTGTAACACGATTTTTGCTTACTATTTCTCCAATTTTGTGGTATTAACTATGAATATGGTAAAGAAGAATATCTCCAAGAAGCGTTCTGGTGATCGCATTCCCGGTGATGATCGTAAAAGAAAGGCTATAACACTTGAAGAGAAGCTCGATGTTATCAACCTCAAAATCACCCTTCTCCCCCATCAAGTTATATTCATATTTTTTCAAGGTAAAGTGTTATATTTACTGTATGATTTCATTATTAGATATGATTATAACATTTATTTAGACTGTGCTATCCTTTGTGTTAGGCTAACTACTAAATTTTTTCGATTTTGAGTAATCTGCACCTAACCCTATTTTCTCCATAAGCCCTGTTATTTCTATTGCGCGAATTTCTATAACACGAGGTTTTACAAGAATACACCTATGGAGTTATAGCAGAACTGAATGTATTCATAAGAAAAAGGGAGACCGGTCAGACTGCGGTAACTACCACAGGATCTCGCTGCTGTCCATTGCCGGCAAGATTATCGCCTGAGTCCACCTAAACAGACTTCTTCCTGAGGTAAAAAATTTCCTCCCAGAATCTCAAAGTGGCTTTAGACCATCAAATGGCACCACTTAAACGATCTTTCCTGCCTACCAGATACAGGAAAAGTACAGAGAATGACATCATGACCTGTACATTGCCTTCACTGACCTAGCCAAGGCCTTCGACTCGGTCAACATGGAAGCCCTCTGGCAGACCATCAACTGTTTTGGCTGCTCACCAAAATTCATCACCATTGTGAGGCAACTCCAGGATGGCATGAACGGCAGTGTCCTGCACAATGGCACCTGTGTCAGTGCCAATTTAGCCGGTGGAGTGGACATTCAGTACCAGATGAAGGGTCTTTTCAACATAAGACAACTCCAGGTAGGAACAACGGCGTTGACAGCTTTCATTACTGAACTTCAGTATGCAAACGACTTCACCCTTGTCACTCACACTGAACGCGACCTACAGGAGGTCCTGACATTATTATGGAAGGTGACTCGCCTTCCAAGAAGCATTAAAATGCTTCTCTTCTCCCTTCTCCTCCATCCCCACTTCCTGCTCTTCTCTCTTCTCCTCCATCCCCACTTCCTTCTCTTCCTCCTCCACCCCCACTTCCATCTCATCTCCCTTCTCCTCCTCCACCCCCCACTTCTAATTCCCATCATCATCATCAACCAGCAACATTCTACATAACACCTCAAAGTAAGTGTACTGTACTGTACTGTATTTTGTTTATACTTTTATGTACTTTTTCTGTCAGTTGGAACCAATTACCCAATATCCCATTAAAATAATAGATTCAGTTAATGAAATTTTCGGTTAACAAACAACTTTGTGGAACCAATTGTGTTCGTTAATCGAGGGACCACTGTATATGTATGTACAGTGGTCCCTTGGTTAACGAACACAATTCGTTCCAGAAGGTAGTTCGTTAACCGAAAATTTCGTTAACCGAAACCATTGTTTCAATGGGATTTTGGGTAATTGATTCCAGCTCACCAAAAATTACATACAAACTAAAAATAAATGCAGTAAAGTCCACTTACTTTGAGGTGTGCATGTAGAAGGCTTCTGGTTGATGATGATGATGATCATGGGAATTAGAATGGGGGTGGAGGAGAAGGGAGAAGAGAAGGCATTGGGGTGGAAGAGAAGTCACCCCATGCCGCCATTTCACCAATAAAATTTTAGTTCACTTGGTGTAATTCAAGATTTTTCTTTAAATCAACACTGCACTGCATTATATAGTCAATATGTAAAATAAACTTCAGAATGACCAATAATTGTACTGTAAAAACGTAAAAATAGTTTATGTTCAAGAGAGTCAAGCAAGATGCTTCCTCCACTGAGCAGACACACAAAGTGACGCCATTCTGGGGTAGTCAAGCGGCTGTTTAGCACGCTAAAAACTGGTTCCCTGTACTTCAATTATGTTAAATAATCGTTAAAATGACTTAAAACTTTAATATAAGACTTGGAAAATTATTGAATAGTACAGTGATCCCTCGGTTAACGATTTACCTTCCATAAGATTCTTAACTTCGGTTAACGAGCAATCCCTCAATTAACAAGTTTTTTACGAGCCGACTTCAACATGTTTTCACTTGCATTTGGCGGTCCACCAACTGTAGTATTAGTCCGCCAATACAGTAATTGGTTTTAGGGCTTAAATTCCTTACTATTTTAGTAAATATCAAGACGTTTATACTATTCAATAATTATAAAAGTTTAATATTAACTTTTTTAGTCATTTTAACAATTATTGAACATAATTGAAGGTAAAGAAACTAGTTTCTGGCGTGCCATCCAGCCTGTTAACACACCAGACAGGCGTTAGTCTCTCTCTGTTTTCAGCGGAGGTAACATCTTGCTCGAGACTCTCTTCAACTAAACGCTTTTTTTCTGTGTTTCCAAGCAAATTATTGGTAATTTTGAAATTTATTTTACATATTGACAATATATAATGCAGTGCAGTGTCGATTTAAAGAAAATAATCTTGAATTACACCAAGAGAACTAAAATTTTATGGGTGAAATGGTGCCATGGGGTGACTTCTCTTCCACCCCAATGCCTTCTCTTCTCCCTTCTCCTCCACCCCCATTCTAATTCCCATCATCATCATCATCATCCAGGAGCCTTCTACATACACACCTCAAAGTAAGTGTACTTTTCTACCTTTTTTGTTGAATTTAGGCAATTTTCGGTGAGCTGGAACCAATTAACCAAAAACCCATTGAAACAATGGTTTCGGTTAACGAGCAACCTGCTGGAACGAATTGTGCTCGTTAACCGAGGGACCACTGTATAACCTTCTTGATATTTACTCAAATGGTAACAAATTTAAGCCCTAAAACCGATTACTGTATTGGCGGACGAATACTACAGCTGGTGAGCAGGCAAAAGCAGGCGAAAACATGTTGGGAAAAATTTGTAAGGAATTCGTTAACCAAAATTTTTTCGTTAACTGAAGTGAAGAATCTTATGGAAGGTAATTCGTTAACCGAAATTTCGTTAATCGAGGCGTTCATTAACCGAGGGATCACTGTAT